CTCAACTTTTTAGTTTGTTTTTGTTGTGTATGTCTTCACTTTCTTGAAAGAATGATACACACGCACATACATTTACATGGAAGTTATGTTTATGTATGAAAATGTTTGTAAAAGTAAAAGGCTAGCTTAGTAATATAAATCACACATTGCTAACAAATGAGTGGTGGTACATTGACAAATTATGGATGGTGAATAGTTGTTTTTGGGGATGTATTTTAGGGTAGTCGTTACATCTAGTCATCTACAAATCCTCATTGTTAACTCTTCATTGGCCACTATAATTCCGCTTTAATTTGCAAATATTAAAGTTTCTAAGAATCTGAAATATTAGTTCAATTTATGTTTTGATCATTTAAAATTTAAATATTTCCAAACGTAATGAAAGTATAAAAACGTAACTAAAATTTGTAAGAATTTGAAGTATTAGCTCAAGTTACGTTCGGTCATGTTAACATTTTCCAAACGTAATATAAGTATCAAAAACTGAAATATTTTCAGATTATTTTACTATTGTTAATGAAAAACTATCAACGTAACTTTAAATTGTAAATGGACAAAAATTCAAATCGTGGAAAAAAACTTTGTTTCTTCAAAAGTAAGTAAGTTCTGCAAATTCACCTCTCTCTTTAATTCTCATCCAAAGGAATCTTCGAAGTTTAATGACATTAACCGTTTTATTGATCCATCTTGTACGTAGGTGTAGTACCAAAAGTTATAAAGCTTTTAAATAATTTAAGTATCTTTATTTAAAACATACATAGTATCTTAAGAGTTGGGAAATATGAGTTATCTGGACCTATCATAAGAATATCAGAAAAATGTATATGAAACACCAATTCATCAACGTGAATCGACGTCTACATTTTTGGAAAATCAATTAACCCATAACTACTGCCTTAATTAAGAAAAAGTTAAGTGTGGAAGATGCGGTACACTTTAGTCCGTCAATTTTTATTTCAAAAGATTTTATTTTCTTTCAAAATTCTAGCAACTGGAGTTTAAACGCCTTTTTGCCCTAAATGATTTCACTTTAGTTATTTTATCACTTCTTAAGATTAATCCCAAAGATGGATAAAGAGAACTTGTATGTACCTATATATATGTTAGCTAGTCGTGATCAGAAAACGTAAGCCATAATCTTAAACGAAGGTGCTCTAGCTGTTCCAACAAAATTCCAATCTTGAAAGATGAATCAGCTCATGCTACTCTTTGGGGTACTCTCTTTCAGTATGATAGTAGTCGGGGTCTCAAACCCAACCCCTGTCCTAACCATAAATGTAAGTAAGTTTATGATTTTTTTAATAATTTTAGTTGCCCTAATTATCATAAATTGACTTTGATCTTCTTTTTTCCCCTAAAATATAAAAGAGCCCCGACGGCGACATCATTAACTGTATCCGCATATTGGATCAACCGGCTTTCAATAATTAACCCCTTACTGGAAAACCATAAACTGCAGGTTTATTTTTGTTAAACTCATTTATGTTTTTGTTTTATTTTTTATAAAACAATATTCTAAATTGAAATACGGGAATGAGTTGTTTAAACTGAAAAAATAAACCTAAGTTTATGGTTTATAGGACTGTTCACTACATGTTCTAATAATCATTTATTTTAGACTCTAATGTTTGTTATATCTTCTGACAATTTTTTTGGGTTCAAATAAAATTCAGCATGCACCTACAAATCTGCCAAAAATGATTCAAGGAACAGAAGAAAGAAGAATATGGCAGGTGTGGAACCAAAACGGGACTAGATGTCCCGACCACACAATTCCAATACGGCGTAATCTCATTTCACAGACGTTCGACAACAATTCAATCGCGAGGCGATCCCTTACCCGGCCGAGGAGGGACACAAGGTAAAAAACAGATATATATGTAGTACGAAATTACTAGTATTTATTTTTTTGGTACCTATATTTAATTTTAATTTTGGTTACGTAAAGATGTAGACCAATATTGATTCGAGTAGTACTAGCATACAATTTTGTATCGCTGATATGAATATTTATATGATATACATACAACTTATTGTGCAAAATTTTGATTATACACTTTCTTCAAAATTTCTATTAATATAAATTATACATATTAATTTATATCGTGCTACTTAAACACCTTTTCATGACATTGGTTCAACACCTTTTCACAGTTTCCAAATTCTAGAAATAGATTTGTTCTTTCTTGCAATTTCTCATATGTTTGTTCCAAATATATGCTTTCTCTCAATTGTAGGATTTATCTAACAATTGTAAAACTCTTGTTACTTGTTACCTTTAAATATATGCATCAAAGTTTTTCAAAAAAAAAAAATACATAGTTTATATCTTGGTTGTACCTCTATGTCATAGATAACTATGTAAACATCGTTAATATCCAAATTTTTAAAGTGAAATAAATCAGATGTTCAAAAAAAAAAAATTATACATATTTGATAAATCTTCGACTTATATAATTTGATTGACTGTATTATTCTCGTTGGACTTTTTTTAGCACTAGGCCCAATAAGAATTTTTGTAAAACCAAATTCTGATATATTTTATTGTTGTTCCGGCACAAGATTTTAAATATGTACATGCATATTCTATTGTTATTGGCTGACCTATTCTTTTAATTTTTTTAATCACATTTGGGAAAAATCATAGTATGCGATTGCATATCTCATATATGGAACACAGGCTACCCTGGGGATTTGGAATCCAGTGGTAGCCCCAGGAACTGGCGAGTTCAGCCTTTCGCAGATTTGGCTCGTCGCGGGTCATTACACAGGATCTGATCTCAACACAATAGAAGCTGGATGGGAGGTTGATTTCTTACTTTTTTTTGTTCCTTTTCATATTAATTACCATTCCTACACAAATTTTATTTGTTTAATATAATATTCAGGTTTTCCCCGAGCATTACCATGACACCCAGCCCCGACTATTTGTTTATTGGACAGTATGAGGATTTAAAATTCTAAGCTATATTTAAAAAGTCATATAATTAAAATTCACTTATAGGAATGTAATTTTTTTTCACAGAGGGATACATACCAACACACAGGATGCCGCAATCTTGAGTGTGAGGGGTTCGTACAAGTCCCTAGAGACTTCGTCATAGGAGCGGCTTTTGCCCCGGTCTCTACTTACGATGGGAGCCAATATGACATTACAATGATGATTTGGAAGGTATATGCATCAACTATCTATTAATAAATATTATAAACGACACATAGAACACTTGAAAACGATTTAAAGATTGTTACAACTAATACGAAATGAATAGTTCAATGGTGTTGTGTAAAGAGACAGACTTATCACTTATGTTTAATTTAGATTAGGATCATAATTACTCATTTGTTTGTTTGTTTGCTTTGCGAATTGTAGGATATAGCCACCGACAACTGGTGGCTAAGTATCGGCCAATCACTTGTCGGGTATTGGCCGGCCAAGCTACTTACTCATCTAGCGGACGGTCCAGCCACGGTAGTGCAGTGGGGTGGCGAATTGGTAAACACTCGTAGCTACGACCACACAAATGGGGTCGGGACACTTCTCAGAGGAAGGTTTTGGCAAGGCGGCTTTTGTCCGAAACATCGCGATCATCGATCACCTCCTCTACCGCCTCCAACCGGTCGAGGAAGTTGCGCTACAAACGCTGAACCCCACATGTTACAGTGCCACAAAGTTTCACAGTGAGGCATGGGGAACACATTTTTACTTTGGCGGACCCGGATACAACACTCTGTGCACTTAGTTCTTTTCCTGTGTATTGTGTGTCAAAACATTTATGTTTAATGAAGTCATGTACTAGAATCGATCGGATTGAAATGATTTTATTTGTGGTGTTGGATTTGGTTAACTTCGGTTTAGATCGGCTTGGGTTTGAATTAAAACGTCGACCAGTTTTACAAAGCCGGCGTCGTTTCGATGAACGACAAACAAGAATCGATTCGAGCTAAAAGCAAAACAACGACGTTTTCGTTTGTATGCAAACAAAACTTTTTTTTTGTTTTTTGATAATCAGGGATGTCCGGGTTTTTACCACCCGATTAATCCCCTAGGATGGGTGTATGCGTCGAGTAGCCCACTCACCGGGTTTTTTAATGGGCCTAAAATATGGCACCAATTCGACTGGCCAAATGGAGGTAAAAGTGTTCCCAGAGATAATCGAACTCAGATTGGAAGGGTTTATCTCTTTTCCCTCCAACTCTTTTACCACCAAGCCACCACCACTTGGTTAAACAAAACTTTTATCTCAACTAAATCAACTTCGGTTTAAAAAAAAGAAAAAATAAACTTCGACGAAATCATTTTCTCCCTTTTCCAAATCTCCTTTTCTCAGTCAAATTCGTGTTGACTCGATTCGCTCAAGTGTACAATGCCGTTTTCCCCGTTTATTATCCTCCGTTAACGTTTTTTTTTTATATAAATAAAAATATATTATTATCCTCCGTTAACGTTCGTTTGTAGTTCGATGGCATATATCTTTCAACGTCTGTAATTTTTAATTTATCTGTGTGTTTAGATATAAAACATATTTTACACCTAAGAAAATGGTCTTATCAGACTTTAACATTTAACATAAGAAGCTAATCTCATCAGAGACTGCGACTTGGTTAGAATATTGGCGAATAAGTAATTAATTAAGAGGTGTGACAATAATTCCCACGCAAATACAAATTAATTTGCAATTGTGGGTTTTTTTTTTGATCGAAAACAATTGTGGTTTTTAAGATAGAAAAAACATATTAAAAAAAGTTAATATAGCTTTTATTTCATTGGCATTTTTGATATTGCATGTTTCCTCATAATCGAAGACAAACATAAAGAAACAGATCATTTTTGACGAATTTCGCAACAACATTTTCCAGAAAGACAATATCCATCCTTGAAACCGTCCAGTCTACACTCTAAGCTGCATTCATACCCTGCAAATTTTTTCGTACATGGAATCGTACATTTATATTTAGGTGGATATCCATTTCCCTGTTTTGTCTCTGCACATAAACACAAACACCCATTAATGGAATTGTCGTTCTGTATCTACATTGAAAAAACAATTTTTAAAATGCTTATGGATATATATATAGTTATATACAGATATTCAATAATTTTATTGATGTTTTATTGTTTTTGATAAAAGCTAGTTAATGGCAAAGAGTTAAAAATATATATACCTGAACCCAGAACGTCTTGGTTGGACATCGAAACAACGAAAATGACTACAAACACTACAAGAAAACTGTAATTTAGCGTCGAAATTTAGCGTCGGAATTTTTTCGACGCTAATATAGCGTCGAAATTGCGTCGAAGTTGTGTCAGTCTAAATATTCGACGCTAATTTGACGTTAAGTAGGGTCGAATAAATTCGACGCTAAATCGACGCAAATTAGCATCGAATTAGCGTCGGAATTCCAGTTTGATCTGCAATTTATAGAACTTGAATTTTGTTCTGAGCCCTATTTTGATCTGCAATTTATAGAACTTGAATAAGCCTAACTATTTATCGATCTTTCAATCTTTGAATTGAACTCATAAGTCCCATGATATTTAATCCTATATTATTTTACCATAATTAGTTCTTTCATATTTGTCAACAACATCATATTTTTG